TCCCTCCGGGCCAGCGCTCCGCAGCCGCGCACCGCTCCCGGCGCGGACCTCCGCGCACCCCAAGCATCCTCGCGTCCCGGGGGCTGCAGCAGGAAGCGGGGCCGCTGTGCCGAGCCGAGGACTCGGGGGGAGCCCTCGGCACGCCAGGGGCCGGATCCCCGGGGCGCACCCCCAGCCCAGCTGGAGCCTGCTTTTCCTGAGCCCGGATCTGGGGCGAGATGGCCACAGGCAGGGGGCCGCCCGAGCCCCGCGTCCTCCTCTGCCTCGGGGCGCTCCTGGCTCGTTGGGTCGCCGCAGGTAAGGGGCCTGGATCTGGAGGGAAAAGTTGAGTTTTCCCAGGCAACAATGGGGCGGTGACAAGCGGAGCCCGGAATCCCTCCGACTCCGCCTGAAGCCGCCCAGAGAGAATCTCGGGTTCCTCCTGCTCGCAGCTCGGCTGTCTTTGCAGGGAGGAATTTTCCCGGGCGCTCCGTGGAGGGCGAGATGCCCCAGCGTCCTAGGGTGGGCGACCGGGCCTGCGGAGAGGTGGTGGGGAAACGAAGAGGCACTTGTAGAGGGGAAAGTGATTTTTTTTCCTCCGCTAAGCGTCGGATGTAAATTCGCGTTGTGGGTTTCCTTACTGCGCTGGTGCATAAACTGCAGGCTCCCACTTTATTTTCCTCTCCTCCCTCTGCCCAAGGTTAACTGGCCTTACACCTGTAACCTGTAGGTTTCTCTACAGACCCTTCTAGCCCACTCTGCCCAATAGCTAAAACTGTGCCTTCCTTCTTTACGCTTACCTTTATTTTAAAAAAAAACAAAACAAATTTTTCATTTTGAAACAATTTAAGACAGCGAAAAATTTTCCTCACACTGGACACAATTGAAAAAAGGGCTTAAATTCGTCACCTATGCTCTGCTTTGTTACAATAAAATAATAGAGGGTTGCTTGCAAAATGACATGGAATGTAAAAGATTAAAAAGTACTTTCGAATGTAATTCAGCAGCTAATCCATATGTATTGTGTGCAGCCAGTGTTACAAGCAGGGAGGAGATGGGGTGGAAGGAAGGGAGATGAAGCCAAAGCACAGTGTGGTTTGCCGAGAGGCAAGTCCTTCCCAAGGTGCCAGGTGGAGTCCTACTTTCTGTGTTGCCAGTCTAGCCCCCACCACCCCGCTGGTCCCCTCTTGCGGGTTCCTGAAGGACTGTTGTAAATTTCACTTGAGCTTCCTAGCAGCAAGTGCCAAAAGTTCCTTCTTTTTAGAGACTCACAAATTTCTGTTTTGTTTTGCTTTTAGCAATCATATAAGAACAGTTTTTTGTTTTTTTTTTTTTAAATCCCAGAATGTAAGTCTGGCAACACTGGCCCTTTAGACATTGGATAGGATCACTTTGCTGGGGAGAGAAAAGAGGACAGGACAGAAGGGAAAGGTGATTGTCCAGGATGCCCTTAGTTGTTTGTAGGGTTTCCTGCCCTGAACAATGACAACCCAGGGCCATGAGAAACAACTGGGGCTGACATCATACTGGCATCAGCTAGCTTCTAAGGTGGCTGTGGTTCCCCCCAGGAGGGACCTACCTCTCTGCCTGGCTTTTTTTTTTTTTTTTTTTTTTTTTTTTTGAGACAGGGTCTCACCATGTGGTTCAGATTGGTCTTGAACTCACTATGTAGCTCAGGCTGGCCTTCAACATGCAATGATCCTCCTGCCTCAGCCTCCTAAGTGCTGAGATTATAGGCGTGCATCACCACACCTGGCCAGGCCTGGTTATTTTGATGCTTAGGCCTGCTTCACCTGTTTGTACAGTGCCATGGGCTTCCCGGGCATGCCGTAGTTTTGTTGTTTTTCTAGTTGGGAGTTGTCTTGAGAAGGGATGTTCTCCTGACACTCCTACTTGTCACCTCCATGGTGTACCCCAGGTCATTAAAAGAAAATACTTAACTAATTTTTTTTTTTTGTTTTTTTTTTGTTTTTCTCCGGTACCGGGAACCGAACTCACGACCTTGCACTTGCCAGGCAGGCGCTTTGCCGCTGAGCTAAATCCCCAGCCCCCCTTAACTAATTTTTGTATTGTTCAATGCAGTTTTGAAAATTTGAATATTCAGATTTTTCTGTAGTCATTCAGATAATCTCTGTCCACCATTTTATACTCTTTCTGGGTCATTTTTGTGAAAATTGCTAGGAAAAGATAAACATGAGGATGTAATTCTGTAAATAATAATCCAAGAGCAGTATCAAGAGAGTTTGTATTGCTCCCTCCCTCTTTTGTTCCATATTCTGAATTTCAAGTTGGGGAGCAACAAGGGACCCCCTGGACACCATGTAAATGATTTCTAATCCCTGTGACCTGGAACACTCGAGACCTGTATGACAATCCCACATCTTCCAGTTACTTGTTTGGGACCCTAAGTAACTCACTTAATTTTCCCAAACCTCAATTTTTTCCGTAGTCAAGCCAGAGGTATGGGAGCATCTCTCCTGGAACTGGTGTATCTGCAAGAACCACCCTTTCTGTGTCTGTGCCAGACATTACTAATCAATGGCTGTGTTCTCCACTTAACCAGGGCTCACCCTCACATCTGTGGACTAAATGATGTCTAAAGTCACCTTGAGCTTCAGTAGTTAGAAAAAAAATGGGGTGGGCAGAGCCAAGAAGAGAAGTTCCATGTCTTTATCCTTTTTTTTTTTTTTTTTTGCAGCACCAGGGATTGAACTTATGACCTTGCGCTTGCCAAGCAGGCACTTACGCCACTGAGCTATATCCCCAGTTCCTAGTTCCATATCTTTTAAATGGTTTCTTTAGTGACCATGTCATTCTATTCCTTGGAGAAGATGATGTTAGCTCAGGTTCCAAGATTAAAGTTTCACCTGGGCTTTTCCAAGCCATTGTCCCTTTATTCCCTTGCCAAGGAGTCAAGGGAAGGGGCAGGTCTGCCGGTCTCAGAGACGCACACTGCATCTGTCACAGTTCATCCTCCCCTCCTCGGTGGCGATTGCCACCTGAGAGCTTGGGTTCCCTGCCTAGTCGTTTGAAGATGATCCTCACCTGCCTTTTAAAGAGATTGTTCAAAAACATTTCTTTCTATGTGAGTATCTGAAGCAGTGGGTGATATTCTGTAGCTTTCAGTGAGTGACTCAGATTTGTTTTTCATCCTGCCTTGGCTTGAAAGTCTTTGGGGAATAGCCGGGTCTGGTGGCGCACGCCTATAATCCCAGCACTCGGGAGGCTGAGGCAAGAGGATTGTTGCGAGTTTGAGACCAGCCTGGGCTACAAAGTGAGCTCAAAGCCAGCCTGAACTGCATAGTGAGACCCTGTCTCAAAAAGACAAAAAAAAAAAAAAAAAAAAAAGTCAGCCTTTGGGGAACAGTATGGCCAAGGTGGTAAGAGAATCAGAATGTTCCACACCTCCAGAGTAACTGTAGGTCTTTCAAAGGGAGCCCCCTTCTAGTCACACAAGAGGCCAAACCTATAGCTTACTTTTCCTCTTATAAATGAGTAGACTGGGATGTGGTGGTGCATTTCTTTAATCCTAGCACTCAGGAGGCTGAGGCAGAATTGCTGCAACTTTGAGGTTACCCTGGGCTGCATAGTAAGTTCAAGGCTAGTCTAGGCTACATAGCAAGACCTTGTCTCAAAAAAAAAAAAAAAAAAAAAGAGAAGACTACCCAGGGACAAGGGGCAGTTTATCTTTTTCGTAGCTTTATTATGATATTATTTACATACCATAAAACCCATCCCTTTAAAGCGTACAGCTCTATGGTTTTAGTATATTCACGCCGTTATGCAACTATCACCACTAATTAATTCCAGAACATTTTCATCGGCGCAGGAGGGCCCGCCCATACTTCTGTGCCTGTTGCTTCTCTGTGGCTCTTGATTGTAAAGGGGGCTGGAAGGTTGGGATACTTCTCGGAAAAATGGGCCGTTTTTGTTTCTACTTACTTTCTTTTAGTTAAGGCGAGACAGTTGCTCTTAGCATCTATTACCCTTGACTGGGCATTAGGGTCACCACCACCCCAACCACCACCCCAACCACCACCCCAACCACCACCCCTGCTGCTGTGCTGCCCCTGATTCTGATTTAGGTGTGGTGTGTGTGTGTTGTGTTGCTAATAGTTTGTACTTCTTTTTT